ACACACACACACACACACACACACACACACACACACACACACACACACACACACACACGTGTAGTAGTGTATATTTCGATGTTCTAGTGGAAGATTCATTCGATTTTGCTCATCCTATCGATGGAAGTAGCACGAGGTCAGCCGCAGGGTTAGAAACTTACCTATTTGTCCCGTGTGTTGCTCAACCTATAGATGGAACACTCTCTCTCTCTCTCTCTCTCTCTCTCTCTCTCTCTCTCTCTCTCTCTCTCTCTCTCTCTCTCTCTCTCTCTCTCTCTCAAAACAGATGATGGACCGTCCGTTGAGAGAGAGAGAGAGAGAGAGAGAGAGAGAGAGAGAGAGAGAGAGGGTACTTTCATCGACAGGATGAGCAAAATGGGATGAATCTACCGCTAGAACATCGAAATATACACTACTACACGCACGTGCACGCGTGTGTGTGTGTGGGTGTGTGGGTGGGTGGGTGGGTGGGTGTGGGTGTGGGTGTGGGTGTGTGGGTGTGTGGGTGTGTGTGTGTGTCTCTAATTCATTCCGATTTCGCTCATCCTATCGATGGAAGTGGCAACTGTCGGTGCATTTTGCAAAGTTGGGCAGCGTCCGGTACGGGTACATTGCAAAGATGGGTTCCAACCGATGGCTGGGGTATTTCGCAAAATGTTTTTGTCATCGTCCTTTGCCGCAGTGTAGCTGCGCGGGGTCCACTTGTTTTTCTAAAGTACAGTCTTTTCCTACATATCAGCCGCAGGTGTCAAAAGTCAAATTCGGAGGCCGAGTGCTGCCGAAGAAATTTATCAACAATGGCTCGACCGCCATTTTCTCTGAGTAGGTAACTTTTATGACTTGGCATCCCAACCTGAAAGGTAGTGGCGGCCGTGGAAAAAAATAGAGTAGAAACATTTCTACTTGGATGAATTTGGGTGTTCTTGTAGTGCCCCATATGTTTCCTAAAGTTGTGGCTTCTTAACGGGCACGACTTGGTGGTTTAAGAAAGGGACTCTGCAGGTCCTAGCAGGGAGAGTGACTGTAGGTAGAAAGGGAGTGCACAGTCGTAGAGGACTCCCCTGTAAACTGTAATTACGAAGGGGGAACAGGGGATTGTGACAGACTGTTTCATCGACGTTCATGTATATATATTACATATATACATCTACATGAAGGTTCAGCCTCTTGGTGAGTCGATGAAACTCCACGGAAACAGTTTGTCACAACCCCTCGTTTGTTGTCCTCTTCTCCCTTTCTGCCTACGATTTACCGGTCAGCTCCGTTCGACGATGTATATACATTTATAAACTCTGACAAAACAGTTTCAAAATTGTCACAGCCCCTCGTTTGTTGTCTTCTTCTCCCTCTCTGCCTATGCTTTACCGGGCAGTTCTATTTGATACATATTACGTCGAGGGATTGGAACATGATCTGCCCGGATTGCAGTTGACCTCACAAGGCGTAGACCACATGGGTGATCCGCAACTGGCTGACCAGCAAACAACCCAACACAGTTTGGACTTGCAACACCATCTGGGCGATCTGCAAATTGTTGGCCAGCATCCAACAAACCAGCCTGAGAACCTCACCAATCTCTGTGGTCTGACAGCAACTAATATTTGTCTTCACATTCTCCATCGCCCGTTTTATACACCGTCAGACTTCCTTGCAATCGCCCTTCAGCTTGATGCTGATCTTTCCCAACTACAGCCAGAGGATGTTGTAATTATACCAGCGAAGGAGGCTTTACCATTGCTGTCCAACAAGTAGCAAGGAGGGACCGTCAACTTGAACTACGCAATGCTTGAGCAGGTGAGTGGTTTAATCCTCCATCCAACATCTTTGTCTGCATTGTGCTCCCTCTTCCTGCGACATACATTTGAAGACACTTGATGATTCCGGTTGGCGGCCGGATGAAACGCAGCGTAGGGTCGCTGCGCCTTGTCGGTCTATTCCATGTTGATTTCTTGGCCGACTGTCGGCGGTTTCTAATGATCATCTTTCGGCCACTGTGGTCACGTTCGGGAACGATTGGGTGTACTTTTTTTTTTTTCTTTTGCTCTCCCTCCCTCTTCCTCTCCTTGTTGTTCCTCCTCTTCTTTGTTTTGAGTCAGTGTATGCCAGTCATTGAATGCTGATCGCTCTCTCGGGTGAACATTTCTCATTACACGGCCATTATACATGCCTCTGACCACTCGGAGCTGTGGGACAACGGCACAATGGTCCATGTCATGATTGATGTCACTGATTTTTTACAGTATGATGCTGCTTTCTTGCCACAACAAACCGTCCGCAATCTCTTTTATGTCGAAGATCATTCCTCTGGCCCCGTGCTGCAGCAAGACAATGTACCAACACTCTGCGACCTTCTCCTTTGCACAGCCACAAACACTGTTACACTCGGCTGTAGCCGCCATCGTCTCTGTCACAATCACTACAATGACATGGTTTCTGCATCCATGTGTGCGGAGGACTGTCCCACCGTCCGTGACTGCAGGCACCCTCCGCATCTGGACACTATATGTCCATTTTGCGGCCATGGGCGCTATACTGAATGCATGCTCTTTTGTAGTGACCGTTCTTCTTTCATTTTGGCCTGCAATCGACGGGGGTGTATGGCGGGCATGCTCAATGCCACCCGTCGAGGCAATTGTTGCACTGAGAATGCTCAGCTAGGTCTTCCCTGTGTTCATCCACCTCATCCTTGCAATGTATGTCCTCTCTGTCGTCAAGGACAGACTCATTCTTTTTCTTATCCTCTTTTGCCTTCTTCTTCACTCCACACTCCATACTTTCCCTTACTTTCCCTTTATCGTTCTTTGTTTGTCTGCTCTCCATCTCTCCTCCCCGTGTTTATCCCCTCCCCCTTCACTCTGCCTCTTTCTCACAGCGTACAAGTGGGCTGTTATGGCACACGGGATGGCGGCAGCTCGCGCTCAACTTCATCAACGTGGCAACCCTTGTACGTGAGAGGGACGGTGAAAGGGGAGTCAAGAGAAGAATGAGAAAAATGAATCGTTTCAGTGTGCCCTTCATGTTTGTCTTGGTTTTTTTTTTTTTTTTTTTTTTTTTTGCCGTTTKTTTCTCAAAGTGCGCTCTTTTAGTTCCTAGTTATATATGTCCTCTTCTCCCTCTCTGCCTACGGTTTACCGGGCAGTTCTATTTGACAATATATATAAACATATATATAATGGGATGTGAACCGACAGTCTGTAGAGTTTTCCATCTGGTGTGGGTGACCGATCGTCTGCTTTGGTTTTGTCACATGTACCTTGAGGGCAGTGGGTGGGGCCCACCTCAGGGTATCAGTTGTCGGGCAGTCGTTGATGCTTAACCACAACCAGGGTTAAGGTGGATTATCACTTACAGTGTAATCAGTTCAGGGATTCTGCAGACTGTTGACGGTTCAGCCTCCTGATCAGTCGGTGAAACTCCGACGAAACAGTTTCTCACAGCCCCTCGTTTCTTGTCCTCTTCTCCCTCTTGTCCCTCTCTGCCTACGGTTTACCGTAGGCAGCTCTGTTTGACGATATATACACCACGACTTCGCTAGCACCCTGCTACGGTAGTAGAACAGTGACGCACCCAAAACGCCAAGAACAGTTGTCGCCATACACAGAGATGCACTCACACCTGCATATCCATTCTTTAAATGCAAGGAGGGACTACTCTGAATGCATATGACAGCTTTTGGAGCCACATTCGCCCACAACAACACTCCACACATCCCTTCAGAGATTTCGAGACGGTCTGTGATACTTATAACAGCCTGCCCAGATGGTTAACGTGTAATATGATACTTGTGGAGGGGTACACCAGACACATGGTTCAAGCACAACTGACAGCCACACACCGCCTCCCCCCCGCCCTCCGCCTCCCCTCCCTCCCCCCCCTCTCTCAACTAGCCCACAAATGTGTCTCTTCATTTCATGCTGCTTTCTTTGCAGAGTATGCCGCGAACTGGCTATTTTCGTGAGAAAGCAATGACAACTATTTGCTCAAGCCCATCCTCGGACATCTCGCCAAGGGTTTCTCGCCATGTTTTCTTTCATAAGCATTGCGTGAACTTAACTACATTGTGAATATTGTACAAAATAACCGAACACTGCAACATTCTACATGCCCCCTGAGCCCAATCCTCTGGAGACTGGACAAAAACTAGAACAAGGATCGAAAAACTAGCAAAGAAAGGAGGAGCAAGCCTGGGCACATGTGAGCAACAGTGCTCGATTTCCACTCTGTCACATTCTATCAGTCTTCGGCCTGTGAAAAGTTGTGCCTCACAGAACCTTCACCGAGGAAAACGAGTCGGTAATGGAGAGAGAACAGAAGCAGGGATCACAGCATACATCCACAAACACATAGAGAGAGAGAGAGAGAGAGAGAGAGAGAGAG